CGAAGAGAGGAGAAGTACTGCTCCAGCGTGGGTTTGAAAAACATCCACTGGAGAAACAGTTGAGTTCGAGCAAATACAATTGAGAATGTCTTTTATGGACATTTGATTTCCATTAATACGTAATCTTACACGTATCCTCGCCATGATGCCTGGGAAGGTGCATCTGGCAGAGGAGTTGCTTAACAAAAAGGTATCTTTCCTTAATGTTAGCCTAACATCCTATTTCAGCTGACTTGTGTCAGCTTATCTTTAATTGATAATGTACTGTGTAGGTGCTTTACATAATGAGAAGCATTTCTTTTATTCATTGGAACCATGGCTAGGGCTAAAAGTAAGCAGGTTAAAACAATAAATGGAGAAAAAGAAATTGGAATGACTTGTGCAGCAGGTAGCGCCACCAAACAGTACCAGCAGGTTGGTGTGGCGACGCTGGAAATTTGAAATTATGCTAGCCAAAATTAGTGCCGAATAACTGAAGGAACCGAATAACTGATTGCCGGATCTGTGATGGCAGACCTGTACTATAATTATAATAATAGACAGCTTCAAAAGGCCATCACTGGATGGCAGTGAATACCACAACAATGCGGGAGCGGTTATGGCCACCTCCACTTGTCACATAATGACATTTTATTCATTCTAGAGTATATATCAGGTTTCTATGTTATTTATATTGGTTATTATGTCACATTAGTTGAATTGTGATAGATAAGTAAGCCATAGAGTTGATATTAGGGAAATTATTGAAGTACAGAATTAGACTGGAGCAGATTAATTCCATTTTAATTAATTTAAATGAGGGAAATTGACTCTGCAAACGAGCAAATCCAGACGCGAGCAAGGTCATGGAACGGATTAAACTCGCAAGTAAAGGTTCCACTGTAGTTGCAACAGGACCCTAGACATAATACCAGATACAAAAATCTCTGACATTCCCTGTGTCTGGCTAAATCTCTACAAAAATTCAATGTACATACATAAAAGGGTCTAAAATCTGCAACTCCCTGCCAGAAAGTTCTAGACCTGCAGACTTAACCATCATTTTCAAAACTATCGTTAAAAACCAGCTTATCTCCCTAACACACACCATCAGCTAACTATATGAAAACCACCCTGTCTCTTTTTCGTATTATGCACACATCCAAAACAAATTAGATTTACTCTCGATATCTGTAATCCCCTCTAATTTACATTTACATTCACCAAAATTACTGTAAATATAAAATCACTAATTAATCACTTCTGTTACCAAATATGCAGTAAGGTATATTAAAATGTACTGCTCCACAACCTGCGTCAATTTAGAGTAAGAATTAGTGTTAGTCTGCCCTAAATGCCTAGGCCTGCTAGAGGCCTTCTTTGGAATTAATATTTTATAATATGTAAACCACACATTGTAAGCTTGGCAAGGAAATAAACATTTTCATTTCATTTCTCATTTACATTCATTTTCAAGTGTTGCAAAAGCATCTACTACATGGTGCACAGTACTTAAATAACATACTAATGTACATGGTGCACAGTACTTACATAACATACTAATGTACATGGTGCACAGTACTTACATAACATACTAATGTACATGGTGCACAAGTACTTACATAACATACTAATGTACATGGTGCACAGTACTTAAATAACATACTAATGTACATGGTGCACAGTACTTACATAACATACTAATGTACATGGTGCACAGTACTTACATAACATACTAATGTACATGGTGCACAGTACTTACATAACATACTAATTACATGGTGCACAGTATTACATAACATACTAATGTACATGGTGCACAGTACTTACATAACATACTAATGTACATGGTGCACAGTACTTACATAACATACTAATGTACATGGTGCACAGTACTTACATAACATACTAATGTATATGGTGCACAGTATTTATGTTACATACTAATGTATATGGTGCACAGTACTTACATAACATACTAATGTACATGGTGCACAGTACTTACATAACATACTAATGTACATGGTGCACAGTACTTACATAACATACTAATGTACATGGTGCACAGTACTTACATAACATACTAATGTACATGGTGCATAGTACTTACATAACATACTAATGTACATGGTGCACAGTACTTATATAACATACTAATGTACATGGTGCACAGTACTTACATAACATATACTAATGTACATGGTGCACAGTACTTACATAACATACTAATGTACATGGTGCACAGTACTTACATAACATACTAATGTACATGGTGCACAGTACTTACATAATATACTAATGTACATGGTGCACAATACTTACATAACATACTAATGTACATGGTGCGCAGCACTTACATTACATACTAATGTACATGGTGCACAGTACTTATATTACATAATAATGTACATGGTGTACAGTGCTTACATTACATACTAATGTACATGGTGCACAGTACTTATATTACACACAAATGTACATGGTGCACAGTGCTTACATTACATACAAATGTACATGGTGCACAGTACTTATATTACTAATGTACATGGTGCACAGTGCTTACATTACATACTAATGTACATGGTGCACAGTACTTACATTACATAGTAATGTACATGGTGCACAGTGCTTACATTACATACTAATGTACATGGTGCACAAGTAACTTACATTACATACTAATGTACATGGTGCACAGTGCTTACATTACATACTAATGTACATGGTGCACAGTACTTACATTACATACTAATGTACATGGTGCACAGTAGTTATATTACATAATAATGTACATGGTGCACAGCACTTACATTACATACTAATGTACATGGTGCACAGCACTTACATTACATACTAATGTACATGGTGCACAGTACTTATATTACATACTAATGTACATGGTGCACAGTACTTACATTACATACTAATGTACATGGTGCACAGTACTTACATTACATACTACAGTACTTACAATACATATTAATGTACATGGTGCACAGTACTTACATACTAGAGCACATACATTACATACTAATGTACATGGTGCACAGTGCTTACATTACATACTAATGTACATGGTGCATAGTACTTACATTACATACTGCAGTACTTACATTACATACTAGAGTACATACATTACATACTAATGTACATGGTGCACAGTACTTACATTGCATACTAATGTACATGGTGCACAGTACTTACATAACATACTAATGTACATGGTGCACAGTACTTACATAATATACTAATGTACATGGTGCACAGTACTTACATAACATACTAATGTACATGGTGCACAGTACTTATATTACATACTAATGTACATGGTGCACAGAACTTACATTACATACTAATGTACATGGTGCACAGTACTTACATTACATACTAATGTACATGGTGCACAGTACTTACATTACATACTAATGTACATGGTGTACAGTGCTTACATTACATACTAATGTACATGGTGCACAGTACTTATATTACACACAAATGTACATGGTGCACAGTGCTTACATTACATACAAATGTACATGGTGCACAGTACTTATATTACTAATGTACATGGTGCACAGTGCTTACATTACATACTAATGTACATGGTGCACAGTACTTAATTAAATACTAATGTACATGGTGCACAGTGCTTACATTACATACTAATGTACATGGTGCACAGTACTTACATTACATACTAATGTACATGGTGCACAGTGCTTACATTACATACTAATGTACATGGTGCACAGTACTTACATTACATACTAATGTACATGGTGCACAGTAGTTATATTACATAATAATGTACATGGTGCACAGCACTTGTATTACATACTAATGTACATGGTGCACAGTACTTACATTACATACTAATGTACATGGTGCACAGTACTTACATTACATACTACAGTACTTACAATACATATTAATGTACATGGTGCACAGTACTTACATACTAGAGCACATACATTACATACTAATGTACATGGTGCACAGTGCTTACATTACATACTAATGTACATGGTGCACAGTACTTACATTACATACTAATGTACATGGTGCACAGTGCTTACATTACATACTAATGTACATGGTGCACAGTACTTACATTACATACTAATGTACATGGTGCACAGTAGCTATATTACATAATAATGTACATGGTGCACAGCACTTATATTACATACTAATGTACATGGTGCACAGCACTTACATTACATACTAATGTACATGGTGCACAGTACTTATATTACATACTAATGTACATGGTGCACAGTACTTACATTACATACTAATGTACATGGTGCACAGTACTTACATTACATACTAATGTACATGGTGCACAGTGCTTACATTACATACTACAGTACTTACAATACATATTAATGTACATGGTGCACAGTACTTACATTACATACTAATGTACATGGTGCACAGTACTTACATTACATACTACAGTACTTACAATACATATTAATGTACATGGTGCACAGTACTTACATTACATACTACAGTACTTACAATACATATTAATGTACATGGTGCACAGTACTTACATACTAGAGCACATACATTACATACTAATGTACATGGTGCACAGTGCTTACATTACATACTAATGTACATGGTGCACAGTACTTACATTACATACTGCAGTACTTACATTACATACTAGAGTACATACATTACATACTAATGTACATGGTGCACAGTACTTACATTGCATACTACAGTACTTACAATACATACTAATGTACATGTCCACAGTACTTACATACTAGAGTACATACATTACATACTAATGTATATGGTGCACAGTACTAACATTACATACTACAGTACTCACATTACACACTAATGTGCATGGTACACAATACTTACATACTATAGTACATTCATTACATACTAATGTACATGGTGCACAGTACTTACATACTACTGTACATGGTGCACAGTACTTACATTACATTCTACATTTCTCACATTACATACTAGCATACATTGTGCACAGTACTCACATTATATACACCAAGACCAAGGTTGTGCATAAAGTTGACAGCAGTGTCAGCACCAGCAGCTAGCAGGTAGGCACCAATGAGAGCCTCAGTGCTGTCAGCTATGTTCTTATCTGAGAGATCATGTTCACTCCATGGGTTGTAACAGTTAGCTGCTCTCTTCCTTGCTCTGCTGGTCTTCTCTCTCTCTCCTCCTATATTCTTAACCACCTGCAACAAGGTGATCATCAACAATGTGGTCAACAAGGTGAATGAGGTGAATAACAAGGTCAACATGATGAACAAGGTGAACAACAAAGTGAAAAAAATGCCAACAAAGCTGAGTAAAGGTTAAGTAACATCCAGCCACAAAAGTGGTACACTACTCTCAGTGGTGTAGTGAAATTTGTGCATGGGAATCAACAATATTAAATCACCTATGACCACTAATAACCCAGCTAAAGGCTGCAGTCAGAATGATGATAAATTCCCACTCCCGACAGCATACTCCACCAATATTCAAAAGTTTAAAACTGCTCACCGTTAAGAACATCCATACTTATTCATGTGCCTACTACATACATAGAACACTACACTCAAACATAAACCCTCCACTCAAACTTCTCCTCACCAACCTTAACAGGACACACAACTACAACACAAGACACAGATCTCTTTTTGATGTACACCATGTCCATATCTCCATATGTAAAAGCTCTATGCACATAAAGGGCCCAAAAATTTGGAATTCATTACAAGTAAATACTAAAGTAACCAAATCTGAACACCAATTTAAGGCTCCTCTCAAAAGCCACCTACTCATGCTAAACTAAATACTCAATACTTAATATTTAACTTTACCAAAAATCTCCCAGTTACCTATTACCCAAAACAATACAGCCTTACACCCAATTTGTAGCATTCTCATACTGTAAACTACTTTCAACAACTCACAATGTTATATTCCCATAATATAATTTCAATATTTATTTTTGAAACTATTGTAATTAGAGTAAAATTACTGTCAACTATAAATATAAAAAAGATGTGCAACTTAAACTATGATCAATTTCTTTAGTATTAAGTAGTCTGTAAGCCATTAAATTAAATCTGCCCATAATGCCTAGGCATGATAATGGCTCTTTGTGCTGCAACTCATTATTGTAACTTCATAATCTCAATGTAATCTTGCAAAGAAATAAATTTTATTTGTTTGTTTGTGAATCATTGGCTTGTTCTAGATTGCCATCTTTCAGCCCTCTTCCACATAAGACTGCTTATGTGGAAGAGGGATTGTGTGGTCTTAAACTGAGTGTAACAAGTGTGGAAGACTGCTTGTATGGTCTTAAGCTGAGTTAACAAGTGTAGAAGACTATATAACTGGGAAACAGAGGAATTGTACCAAGAGGTAACATCATGACTAAAGATTGTTAAAAGTAATCAAAGTAGAGAAGTTACTAGTGAGAGTCTAAAACATTTGATCATGACTCTTTGCTAACTGCTCACCACACACTGAAGAACACTCCCCCACACCCAAGCATTTGTCACCATCACACCAACCTTCATCACACACTGAAGATGACTTCCCCACACCCAAGCATTTGTCACCATCACACCAATCTTCACCACACACTGAAGATGGACCCCCCCCACACCCAAGCATTTATCACCATCACACCAACCTCATCCTAGTAAAGATTTTTGTAATTACAAAAAGGAATTATGAGTTCACCAAAATATCAACACTAAAAGTAAGAAGACAATGGTCGGACTCGGTAATACCAAGTGATATCACGTCACCATTTTTAATGGTAAAAGAATTGACAGTTTGCAGAAACAAGCCTAATATATATCCACCAATATGGGTGGTTGATAACACATTATTCTCAAAATTATTCTGATCTATTAGATACAAAAATCTCACATGAATAAGACTGCCATTGTGGACAATTAATCCATTAATTATAGTCACCACATACGACTGACGACTCCTCTTTGTCAAGCACTGAACCAAACAATAAAATTAATCCAGATACAAGGAATCAGTGCCACCAGTGGCAGGAAGGTAACCAACCATCACCACACAATCAGTGCCACTAGTGAGAGAAAAATAACCATCAGTCACACAATTGATGCCAGTACAATACACAATCATCAGTCACACAATCAGTACCACCGGGGCCTGATCAACCAGGCTATTATTGTTGGCTGCACACAGCCCAATGTACGAACCACAGCCTGGCTGGTCGGGTACTGACTTTAGGTGCCTGTCCAGTGCCTTCTTGAAGACAGCCAAGGGTCTATTGGTAATCCCCTTTATGTATACTGGGAGGCAGTTGAACAGTCTTGGACCCCTGACACTTGCTGTGTTGTTTCTTATCGTGCTAGTGGAGCCCCTGCTTTTCATTGGGGGGATGTTGCATCATGTGCTGAGTCTTTTGCTTTCATAGAGTGATTTTCATGTGTAAATTTGGTACTAATTCCTCTAGCATTTTCCAAGCAAACATAATCATATATCTCTCCCACCTGCATTCTAGGGAGTACAGGTTGAGGAACTTCAAGCATTCCCAGTAACTGAGGTGTTTTATTGCACTTATGTGTGCCGTGAAGGTTCTCTGGTCAGCAATTTCACCTGCCTTGAAAGGTGCTGATAGTGTGCAGCAATATTCCAGCCTAGATAGAACAAGCAACCTGAAGAGTGTCATGTGCTTGGCATCTCTAGTTTTGAAGGTTCTCATTATCCATCCTGTCATTTTTCTAGCAGATGTGATTGATACAGTGTTGTGGTCTTTGAAAGTGAGATCCTCTGACATTATCACTCTGAGGTATTTTACATTAGTTTTTCACTCTATTATGTGGTTGGAATTTGTTTTATACTCCGATGTAGTTTTAATTTCCTCACATTTTCCATATCGGAGTAAATGAAATTTCTCATCACTGAACTTCATATTGTTTTCTGAGAACCATTTAAAGATTTGGAGTCTTGCAGTGACTTCAATGGAAGACAATGTCATGCAAATTCAGGTGTCATCTCAAAGGAAGGCACGGTGCTGTGGCTTACATCCCTGTTTATGTCAGATATGAGGATCAGGAACAGGATAGGAGCTAGTACTGTGTCTTGTGGAACAGAGCTTTTCACAGTAGCCGCCTCAGACTTTACTCTGTTGACTACTACTCTTTGTATTCTATTTGTTAGGAAATTATGGCTCCATCTACCAACTTTTCCTGTTATACCTTTATCATGCATTTTGTGTGCTATTACACCATGGTCACACTTGTCAAAGGCTTTTCCAAAGTCTGTGTATACTACATCTGCATTTTGTTTGTCTTCTAGAGCATCCAGGACCTTGTTACAGTGGTCCAGTACTGAATGTGTAAACATTCAGTACAATAAGTGCTCAAGCATATTTAAGTGCCTAAGAACTTCTTGTAACATAAACTTCTTATACAAGACACCCCCCTAAAAACACTATTCCTGGCAAGCACTGTTTCCAGCAAGCACCATTCCCAGCAAGCACCATTTCCTGCAAGCACCATTCCCTGCAAGCACCATTCCCTGCAAGCACCGTTCCCTGCAAGCACCGTTCCCTGCAAGCACCATTCCATTCAACCATTGTATAACAAGTTCTTAACTAAAACAAAAACTCAAATAAGCTGTCTAGGGAAGCCCAGAAAGCACTAGGGAAGCAGATAGCACTAGGGAAGCCCAGACATCACTGTTCCTCATTAGTGTCTGTGAAGGCACCACCCACAGGTGGGTTAGTGCCACCCAGAGGTAGTGTCTGTGAGGGCACCACCCGCAGGTGGGTTAGTGCCATCCAGAGAGGTAGTGTCTGTGAGGGCACCACCCGCAGGTGGGTTAGTGCCACCCAGAGGTAGTGTCTGTGAGGGCACCACCCGCAGGTGGGTTAGTGCCACCCAGAGGTAGTGTCTGTGAGGGCACCACCCACAGGTGGGTTAGTGCCACCCAGAGGTAGTTTCTGTGAGGGTACCACCCACAGGTGGGTTAGTGCCACCCAAAGGTAGTGTCTGTGAGGATACCACCCACAGGTGGGTTAGTGCCACCCAGAGGTAGAGTCTGTGAGGGCACCACCCACAGGTGGGTTAGTGCCACCCAGAGGTAGTGTCTGTGAGGGTACCACCAAAAGGTGTGTTAGTGCCACCCAGAGGTAGTGTCTGTGAGGGTACCACCCACAGGTGGGTTAGTGTCACCCAGAGGTAGTGTCTGCAAGGGTTCATTACACTCTGCAATGTAGTCCAACACCAAACAGCATCATCAATGTAGTCCAACACCAAAGAGCATCATCAATGTAGTCCAACACCAAAGAGCATCATCAATGTAGTCCAACACCAAAGAGCATCATCAATGTAGTCCAACACCAAAGAGCATCATCAATGTAGTCCAACACCAAAGAGCATCATCAATGTAGTCCAACACCAAAGAGCATCATCAATGTAGTCCAACACCAAAGAGCATCATCAATGTAGTCCAACACCAAAGAGCATCATCAATGTAGTCCAACACCAAACAGAATCATCAATGTAGTCAACACCAAAGAGCACCATCAATGTAGTCCAACACCAAACAGAATCATCAATGTAGTCCAACACCAAACAGAATCATCAATGTAGTCCAACACCAAAGAGCACCATCAATGTAGTCCAACACCAAACAGAATCATCAATGTAGTCCAACACCAAAGAGCATCATCAATGTAGTCCAACACCAAAGAGCATCATCAATGTAGTCCAACACCAAACAGAATCATCAATGTAGTCAACACCAATGAGAATCATCAATGTAGTCCAACACCAAAGAGCATCATCAATAAAAACTTTTCCCTTACTAATAGTGCAGATCTGCAGATGATGTCAGACTTAGACACAGAGGTGGTCAACCTCATCGGTTGAGATGCTGCCACATCTCAAAGGAGTAAGTTGTTGAACAAAGCTTATTCTTATGGCCAACCAACCAACAAACTGAATATTTTTCCTACTACTGTACCTTACTGCCACAACTCACTACTTTCAATCATGTTATCTCTTCCCCATGTATCTCCACCAATTAAAAGACTTGTACAGTTAAAACACCATTTTAAACTGCAGTGTGTGTGTTGTACATACAACCTGTCAGAATTAAAATAACATTTATAATCATAAAAGAAAGATGCTTGGGAAGAAAACTCTGAGACTCACCTCTTGTAAGTTCTCCAGTCGAGAAGACTTAGGTAGACTTGGCCATTTATCATGTGAAAGGTTGCAGCTTCTCAGTTTGTTACTAACTTCAGGTTTGATGGTAAAGCCCAGCAGTAAACCATTCAGAGGTGGTTCCAGGTAAAATGACTGCATCTTGTTTGGTATTGATTTGCACTTTGCCAGGGAAGAGAGAGTTCTGTTGCAGACAAGTTTTCCACGACGCAGTGAGAGTCTACCTTCATGACTCTCAGTCTCCTTCAAAAATAAATATTCTGTAATAATAAACTTGAGGAAAGAATCTCCAAGAATTTCCAATCTTTCCAGATCAAAGTTCTCATGAGCAGCACACAGTGTGAGGGCATGAACTATCACAAATGGATGGATATATTCACTCTTACTTTTCATTAATGATGCACATAAATTCTCCTCACCAGAATTATTTATTCTTGTAATTATCTCTTCTGGCCAGTTAAAATTTATTTTTTCATACTCTACATCTTTGGAGATCAATTTTGAATCATTCATGGCTACATTGAGTTGGTGAGCCAAGTTTAAACTATTGAGGCGATGAATAATGGAAGGTATGCACATGATCTGCCACCAGAGAGAGGCCTTGAGAGGCAGCACACCACACAGCTCCGGCACAAAGATGGGAGGATGATGCTTAGCTTTGTTGCTACTCTTACAAGACATCGCTGACATCGCTGGCATCTTCAAGTAGTTGAGTTCTTTTGGTAAGTGCTTTGCTGATATTAAAGGTTGCTGCATGTTAGTGATACTCTTACCATATTTCTGGAGGTAATAGTGGCAATAACTAGAGTACACATGCTTAGAATCAGGAAACTCTGATTGTGGACTCAAGTTAGTTAATATTTCTGTAACATAGAACATGTGGACAGGTTCTTCTGTTGTATACAGAGGATATATTATGGCATCCTCGTAAGAAGACTTCTCAAAGTGGAAGCTTTCTGCTGATCTGTATACAATGGGCACTCTAAGATGTGGCAACATGTATATCTGAGTTAGTAAAGTTAAGTCAATGGTGCTTGCTTGTGCTAGAGGTACAATATATACACCAGTATTTCTAGAACTAAAATCAAAAAGCACTGAATTGATGTCCAACAAGGTTTCAAAGATGAATTTGTGGAAATGTTCAATTTTTCTCATCAACTCAGGATTTAAGTTCATAATCTCCTTAATAAATTTCACTCTAACTTCCACTTCACCCCACTTGGTGTAGTAGAGTGCAAATGGACAATGTAATAAGCTTCTTTTACAAATCAATCCAACTGACATATCACTCTTGGTAGAATCTACAAGCAAACTAGTATGCTGTGTGCCTGTAGGTTGAATGATAATAGAATACAGCTTAAACAATCCATGGTAATAGGTAAAAGCCTGGCACACTTCTCTCTCATAAAGTTGCCGTCGCTTCCTCGTGCCAGGCTCGGGTTCCCCGGCCTTGATGGGCATTTCTGGCACAACTTCCACCAGACCTTCCAATATACTATCATCTGATATCTCAGCAGGCCTCAAGTCATGATTTAACTCTCCCATTGCATGCAACTTCTTACAAAGATTGAGTGCAGCGCTTTTCTTGGCAAGCTCTTTGTTTTCCATACAATCTCCACGCACCTTTGTTTTAAGGCAAGCATTAATAGGCAACTTTATCTCAGCCACACATCCTTGGTCACTCTTCTCATAGACAACTTCTGGTGCCAGTACTGTAAACTTGTCCTGAGGAAGATTACCACAATACAAATTAATAAGTGCTATGGCAGAATTACCAGTAATTTTGGGTCCATTAATTCCATAAGGCTGATAAGGAGCAATATATTCATCTTCAGCAAAGTGCAAGCTGCTCTCTATCCTTGTAGGTAACTGACGATTGTGACATAATTGCGTGAAAGAGGCTTCAATTTCTCTATACACTTCCAGTGTTTCAAGCATCTCCTGCAATTCAGCAACTTTTACCATGAGTAAGTACCTGGAGGGGTGTGCACGAGCTCGTCCTCTAGACTGCAGGTAGGCACGGTAGTTCTGTGGCTTATCAAATCGTATGACTATATTGCACTTTCTGATATCCACACCTTCTTCTAAAACACTGGTTGAAACCAGAAAATTGCAATCACCATTACGAAACTTATTTAAGGTTTCCTTCTGCCTGCAAAGTTCCAGCTGAGCCAAATGAATATCAGTGCTGCAGCGGGACATAGAACCCACGGCATACAGGGGCTTAACAAAGGCAAGATTGTCACTTTCATTAGCAGCTGCCGACAGTAAATCATAGAGAATCTTTGCAGTGTTTCTTCTCTCAACAAAGATCAATCCATACACCACCTTATTACATGCATGAAATATATCGTATAGCCTCTTGACCTTGTTGGAAACATTCTCAATAGGGCTCATTGTGGCTTCTTCTCTTCCACAATAATCCAGTATTTCTTGCAATCTACCCCTGAGTGAGGCCATCAACTGACGAAGGGCCGGCACATCCTCAATCCTCTCCACATCGTCAAAGTATTCCATCTCATACATGATGGCCCGAGCTACACACCAGTCTCCCAGCGTCTCCATGATGTGACTTATGTTTCTCATTTTCTTAATAAATACTTTCTTGTACTTGTCTTCAATATCTGGATCATCTTTTACATCTTCTATTATTCCTTGTAACTGAGCACTGATTATTTCTTGGTATTCAGAGAAAGTGTCAGATTTATAGCAAATTATTTTCTCCTTGGGGCTAGCACTGTACTTTGTAACTTCTTGATCTGTGGTCGTTACCAACACACAATCCATTGCCGATTCCAGTTTCTTCATGGTGTCCATTACGTCTTTCTTTTTACACTTACGATGAATGACGCAAGCCGTCAGTCCCAGAACTCTGGGACACTTCTGAGGGAAAGATTTTTTCAGAGACTCGTATTGTCTCATTATCTCTCTCATGGGGTGAGACCCGGAGGCATGATGACACTCATCCATGATGATGAGATTGACCAAAGATAATGGCAGCCTAGCATGAAGAATTAGATCCAGGAAGATCTGTGCCACCATCACCAGTACTTCATTCTTCTCCAGTTGCTCTAACCACTGTAAGAGAACAAGAATGTTAGTACAACCTTCACCAGTACCAATCACAAGTACTTCATTCTTCTCTAGTTGCTCCAACCACTGTAAGAGAACAAGGTGTTAGTACAACCCTCACTAGTAACAATTACCAGTAACAACTACCAATAACAATCATCAGTAACCACCACCAGTACTCCATTCTTCTCCAGATGCTCCAACCACTGTAAGAGAACAAGGTGTTAGTATAACCTCCACTAGTAACAATCACCAGTAACTACCACCAGTAACTACCAGTAACCACAACCAGTAACCACCACCAGTAACACCACCATTAACTCTCAATAGTAACTACCACCAGTAACCACCATTCATGCTCCAGCAATCATTCTTCACTCATGCACCAACAATCATTCTTCACTCATGCACCATCAATCATTCTTCACTCATGCACCATCAATCATTCTTCACTCATGCACCATCAATCATTCTTCACTCATGCACCATCAATCATTCTTCACTCATGCACCATCATTCTTCACTCATGCTCCAGCAATCATTCTTCACTCATGCACCATCAATCATTCTTCACTCATGCACCAACAATCATTCTTCACTCATGCACCAACAATCATTCTTCACTCATGCACCAACAATCATTCTTCACTCATGCACCAACAATCATTCTTCACTCACGCACCATCAATCATTCTTCACTCATGCACCAACAATCATTCTTCACTCATGCACCAACAATCATTCTTCACTCATGCACCAACAATCATTCTTCACTCATGCACCATCAATCATTCTTCACTCATGCACCATCAATCATTCTTCACTCATGCACCATCAATCATTCTTCACACATACTCCAGCAATCATTCTCATCCAAACCAAATTCAATAAAAACTGAAGCAATATTTCCCGTAAGAAATAATGTAAATCCAATTAATCCATTCCAGACACCCAAAAGTATTAACAAAAAACACATTTTGTAGAGAATAACTATAGTTTTACATACAGAAAACAATGAGAAATAAATATAAAGGACTAATGAAATGGATAAATGAACATTTAATATCACTTTTTCCTTTATTGAAGACTTTTGTTGGTGTATGGAAGACATGAGGAGGGGAGAGGGAGAAGGAGTAGAGGTTGGTTGGAATGGGAATCCCCTTCCATAAGGACTTCAAGTAGCAAATCACTATCCGGAGTTACTTCCCTTCTTTGTCTTTTACTGGCACTGGACCCCTGTCACACAAAAAATCTGTCTAGGGAGGTCAGTTTCTGGCATTTCTTTAACCCTTTGGGGGTCGACAGGTCCTCTCAGAGACTCGTTCTCAGGGTCGGCCAAATTTCAAAAAAAAAAAAAATTATTTTTCTTATGAAAAGATAGAGAATCTTTTCCCGATCACAATGACACCAAAAGTATGAAATTTGATGGAAAACTTACGGAATTATGATCTCATGAAGTTAGCGGTCTCGACGATGTTCACGCACCGCCGATTTTGTCCACTTTGAGCCCTATTTTCGGCCAATTCCAGTGTACGAGTCGACAAAAATCATAACTATTTTGCTAGAACTCCATTTTTTCTATCGAATGAGTACAAGAAACCACCCATTTACCAATTTCAACAATCCAATAAAGTGGTCAGAATTTAGAAATTTTGCCAATTTCACACAAATTTCAAAAGACGCCAATTTCCGAATAGGGTCCAGAATAAACAAGAAAGACATTCCTGACACTAAAATAACAAGTTCTCTGTTCGTTAGTCACATCCCCAGGCCCCTCTTATATTTCTTTGGCTTTCCACTTTGAATTTTTATTCTTGCAAAAAAAATAAGATTTACTGTTATGCAGACTACTGCATTAGTGTAGAAATGGTATAAATAATATCAGCGCACTTGTGAAGGAATATTAGACTCACCAGTTGATGTGTATTGGACGCTTGACATGATTTGTTTACTTTTGAACTTTGGTAAAAATCGAACATTTCTGCTACTTTGAGGTTAATTTCAAGGTACTTTTCATTGTAAAACCAGTCAAAATCATCTTGTCTTCCATTCTATAAAATGAGACCAAGAAAACTAGAATACAACAATAAATACCATACAAAAATACAGGGCAAAGTTGCTGTTTTAATCCAAAAACACCATCAAAGTTTTTTTTCCTCATTACGCACTGTGCTGCAGGATTTTTTTATACTGCGCACACTGACCACATAGACCCATTCTTACATATGTGGGCCTACCAGCTTTCTCTCACTAGATCTGAGGGCACTAGAATTTAGGCGTACTAGTACGTCAAAAACCCTGGGTCGTAAGACGTGCTAGTACGTCCGAAATCCCCAAAGGGTTAAGATTTGCCTAAAATGGGACAAGGCATTGTCATTGAACATGTTGCAGAAATGGCTTGCAACAGCTCTGTTATGGTGATATTTAACATCTTTGTTAGGGTGACATTTCATCACAAAACTTTGCAACTCACTCCACTTTGCACACATGTCCTTAATCACTGAAGAAGGCACAGTTTCCCCTCTCTCTTCCTCCTCCTCTGAGGTAATTTCCTCAGCTGCGATCTGTTGCTGTTCCAGTTGAAGGTGTTGCTGCTCTTCAGTGGTTAGTTCTTCCCTGTGGTCGTCCACCAACTCTTCCAGATCCTGGTCATTTGCATCCATCCCCGTACTTTGCCACAAGTTCTTTCTTGAATTCTATCATGTTTCTCGCCTTCTTTATCAAAGGGCTGGCACTCAGAACTTTCTTTAGCCCCACAGTGGCTAATTTAGCAGTCACACTCAATAAACAAGCACAAAAAACAATGGATTATTACGAAATGTTTTGAATGAATGCGCAGGGTAATGGTCACTCAATGAGAAACAAAGCAAGATTCACTCAGAATGCATGGGATGCTTTGTGTGGGTGCAGGCAGGCAGACATGTTTGGCATGGCAGACTGATGAAAACTGAGGTGATGAACGAAAACTGGGAAAAATTTTGAAAATTGAATTCGATGAAAACCAGGGCAAACAAAAACCAAGGTTCCACTGTACCTTGTACTACATGTACTTATAGAAATAAAGATAATATTATTATTGTTATTATAGGAACAAGGAGGAAAGAGAGACAAAGATGGAGATGAGCAGGAGAACCCAGACTCAGAACTAAAAGCAAATACAGCCTCTCCTCACTTACTGATGGAGTTCTGTTCCTAAGGCCACGTCGGAAAAATTCATTGCTAATCGAAGAATCACCCCTTACTGACACTTCAAAAGTATCATCACCTAAAATTAAAACATTCAGTTTTATGTTTGCTGGGAAATTCCTTGCAATCTGTTTATTAATAATGGTAATACAACATGAAATAGGTCAATGACTTACTTCCGAGATATTCCAGGAAACGCATACATAGCTGATTATTTGCGAAATTTTTTTTTCGAGAAAATCGCACTTTTTTTAGTCTTTGCATAGGATTAGAGTGATCTTCTATAGTTACCCTTCAGGTGCATAATGCGCAACGTTTTCTGTAATGGTTGCGGTCACTTTTTTTTTTTATCCCTCCCTGCCCTCCACCCTTCAATACCTCTATATAATGTCAGTTGTAATTAATTTGGGTGCCTTTATGATTCTTCTGTATTATTTATGTTATACTTAATATTATTCTGGAGTTAATATAATAGGTAGATAACCTTTACTGATAAAAACAGTATAATTATACAATATTTTATAGTGCCGAGAGGCACAACCCCTCCATGCGTCATGGGCAGTCATGAGTTACTGAGACACTGCTCACTTCTCCCTCTGCTATAGCTCTGCCCACTTTGTAATGATGCCAAATGATGACTTAAATACATATTTTAGAAAGAAAAAATAAAATAAAAATGAAACTCCAACTTAACAGTTTTATTTTAATTTGCAGAACTCTTATAAATTACAGAAAACAATAAAAAAGTAAAATAGCTTAAGAATCTGGCAACATTTTGGTATAAGTATCATCATTGCATCATGTTTCTACAAAGAATTATAGTCATTTTACAAAAATTATTTTTATGATGCAGCGAGTAATATACATATGAACATGAATTTTCAGAACTTTTTCCAATTTTTTTTCAATTTTTATTAATTTTTCTGTCTAATTCATTAAAGTCACCATCTAACATCGTTATGAGGTGGGAGGAGCTATAGGAAAGAGGGAAAGATCAGCAGAGAGAGCATTAAAAATCTGGCGAGTCGTCATGGGCGTTGAATGCTAGCTGTGGTGCTAATAAGATGTTGTGTAATTATGCTAATATTAGTAATAAAGGTTATCTATCTATCATATTTATTCCAAACTGATATCAGAAACACAATAAATCTCCTACACCTGTAATAAAGATGCCAAAATAAATAATATAAGCCATATTAAGTGAGTAGGGTGAGGGTGGAGGCTGCCACTCTGGGATAACATCATAAGATAGATACATTCTCTCATCTGTACCTCTGCTCTATAACAAGAGAAAACAGTATTTTCATCAGGGTAAACACTCCTAAATCACTCTTTTCATAAGAAAAAATACAAAAATAGCACGATTTTTCCTGGTTGTTTTTCTTGAGAATAGATTAAAATCAGTGAACAAGGTATGTCAATGGTAATAATAATTTATAATAACAACAATTTATAGTAATTTATAATAATAATTTATAATTATAATTTATAATAATTTATAATAATTTATAACAATAACAATAATAAATACTTGCTCTGGAGAACTTTAAATGTCATATGCATTTCGTATAGGTTTGGTAGCTGACACTTAACCCTTTGACTGTCGCAACCCCAAAATCTGAAGTGTCTCCTGGTATCGAAGAATATTAAAAAAAAAAAAAAAAAAAATCCTATCAAAATGTTAAGATTAATTTTCTGTTTTAAGCCCCCAAAATAAATTTTTGGGATCAGTACTTATGGAGATATAGAGGAGTAAAGTTGGCAGAAAATGAGCCGCATATGGCAACAGTTGTAAATGCCACTCACCCAGTAAACTTTGGTTTACTTGCATTCCAAGGTTTCTTGTTTTTTTTCACTCTTATATTTTTTCACATAACTTAAGTGGCCTGTGAGACCAAATTAAGATGCAATGTACATATATACACTCTATGTATACAACACAATAAGCACACAAATATAATTATCAATATATTGTTTACAAAACTTGTTTACCAAACAATACAAAATTTTTTTTATTACTATTGTTCTATAATATATATACAAATGTACAGTCACTGGACATGTTCCTAGAAGTTCAGCAGCTTCTGGAACTCTTTGAAACATTGTTTCATACACAATGGTGTTATAAACTCCTCA